TTTTAAAAATTGATGTGCAAATTTACTATAAACATGCATCAGGTCATGAAATTTTGGGACATATCCGCTGATCGATAATTAAATAATTTCTGGCTGAATTCAAGATACCTGCAGTTAAAAAGTATACTATGCTATATTAATATTAATCAGATTAAGGAATAAAATCCAGAACACTGAAGAAAATATAATAAATTATTAAGATGCGTACATATATGTATATTACTGCATCTAGAACTCCACCAAAATAAGAAAACAATTTTAATTAACGATTCATTTATGAATACTAATATAATAGCTAAACTAAACCTGGTAAAATGTAATGTGAATATTAAAAGCTCTTTCGCTAAAATTTATATTTTTACTATAATCAGCTCATCATATATCATTCTATAGTTACTTTTTAAAAGATTATCTAGAAACGCAACTAGACTCTAATAAAACAAAAAAAATATATATAAAGCCCTATCTGTAAATTAAGAAGAGATCAGTTTTACAGTCTTTTTATCCATTTTAATAGAAACGTACTTATATTAAAATCTAATATCATAACTTACTTATCTGTTGTTCTAAAATGAATCATGGTTAACATCAAAACTAGAGAAGAATCTAGGAAAATAAAAAACCGTCAGAGAAAAGCTGCTAAACACAATGATGATCTATTTAGAAAATCAGAAAATGAGAAATTGAAAAAACGTATGAAAAATCTTCGTCAAAATAATGATTATGTTCGAGCATCTAATTCAATGCAAAATGATCATTGAAAACAGAAAAAAATTATTGAACATATTAAACATAATAATACTGCTGCCAATTCTAAAATACCTTTGCGTATTTTTGAATTAGATAATAAATTTGAAAAAACACTGGTTCAAAAAGCAACATAGCCTCAACTGATCAATTCAGAAATTAAAAAAGGTGCTTTGGCTAAATTTCGTAATAAAGTTGATTTAATGAATTACGTAAACTTACATGCGCAATTTGCTCTGGGCTTTATAACTACAAAAACTACAAAAGAATATCAGTGCAAGATATTGATCTTTCTACTTTAAAAGCATTGATTTTTCTTACTGATCCTTCATTTGAAATTGATTTTAACTACCAACATCCATATATTAATGCTACCAAAATTAGAATCCTTCTTGATCATTCTGGATTTATTTATAATAACTCCACAAATCAAAATAATCTCTTTGACTTACACATTTGTAATGAATGTTTTACTTATTTGCAAAAACATAAGATTCCACCATTATCATTAGCTAATTATATGTGGATTGGATCTACACCATTATGTCTTTAGGATTTAATAATTCCAGAACAACTCCTAATTTTACCTGGCTATTTATCTATGAATCTTATTCAATTAACCAAGAGAAAACATACACATCACAAATTAAAAGGGCATGTTATAACATTACCTCAAAATCCAGGTTCATTAATAAAAAAACTACTATTACCAATATACAAACTTTGTGAACATTTAAAAGTAGTATTTGTTGGTAAAGAGGCACCTACTAATCAACAACTTAAAAAAATATTTCAAGTACGGAAAAGTAAAATTACAGCTACGCTCCATTGGCTCTTTACTCATAACAAATTATTCAAAGACAATTTTGTGCTTGGTAAAAATGCTTTAAATCTTTTATCTGAAGGAGAAATTCCTGAACCTTTAACTTTAACAACTACTATTGTAGATATTGATCTGCATGAAACTGAGCACTATACAGGTTATGTTCATGAATTTCTTTCTAGTGACCAAGAATCTGATAGTAAGAGTAATGATGAAGAATTTTCTAATAACAATAGCTACAATTTAAACAATTTTATAAAAAATAATTCAATTGGTAGTGCAAGTGAACTTAGGCCTTCTGGAATTATGCATATTGATGGTATACCAATTACAAAAAAAGAGCTCACTTTACTTTTTTTTTCAAAAACTTGTAAACATTATAAACCACTACTCAAATAATCAATATTCAAATAAATCTGATAATAAAATAGAAAATGTTCCTATACAACTCCAATTAATCTATATACCAATGGTCACCAACCTCTTAACGAGTATGAAGATATGACTCTTTTTTCTACTACGTTTCCTGTTCTCTATCCATATGGTATTAGAGGTCATGAAGGTTGATTGTCCTATATAACTTTAAAAAAATATGCCAACCATCTTATGCGATATCATGATCCTAAGTTTAGGCAACATAGATCATTTCTATTTGTTATATTCGATATTTTGCAGTGTTGGGAAGTTTCAGCAGAATCTTATAACTTGACAAGAAATAGACATTTTGAACAATCTGCCAGCTTGATTTCTAGACTCACGCTTCATAATATTAAATTAGCTGTTGAGCAAATGCATAACAAATATCTTTTAACAAATCCTGCAATTATTGAGCTGCTCAAAAATATTAATATAGCTGGCTTTAATTTAATGGCATCTCATCAATCACGTGCTTATATGTGAAATGAAATATGAGCCATTATCATACATGATAGATCTCCTTCACTATTTATTACTATAAATCCTGCAGATCTCCATACTATTATAGGGTATGGATATAAAGAAGGTGAAGTTTTTGGCATCATAAAAAATTATTATGGTGTTGTCGAATATCAAGATCATGGAATGCCTCATTGTTATCTACTTGTATGGCTTTCTGGTTCACCTGATCCAATTGAGTTACATCAAAAACTCAAAATTGACGAATCATTTTATCAACGGTTACTTATTTATATAAGCGATATTGTTAAAGAAGATATTAGTTATCTTCTTAAAGAAAATGATATTTTGACCAATAAAATGCTTGAAGCAGAGCATAAAGCTTCAAAAACAATAGACGAAAAATGAATGCATCCTTTATTTTTTCCAATTCCTGATCCAAATTTACCTGATTATGACGAAAAATTACGTTTAGATCTACTTTCAATTAGCAAGCATATTTTATATTACCATTGCACTTAAACATGTAAGAAATATAATAGAGGCTTGCAAAAAAAATGTAGATTCAACTTTCCAAGAGAGTTTGTGAACCCCTGGCATTATCTTTCCAGATCAAGGCATTATCACTATCCAACATATTAATGCTTTTATTAACAATCATAATCCATATATAATAGCAGCATGCAGAGGAAATAATAATATCAAGTTTATTGTGACTTGTAAACTTGCCTTAGCTTATATTTATTATATAACTGACTATATCACTAAGTCAGATATAAGTATACATAGCTCCTTCTTAATATGCGACTCAACTTTGGAATCTTTTTTAACTTAATCTTCAGATGAAAATTCGTATAATCTTGTAGACAACTTTCATAAGCTTATAACTAAATGTCTTAACAAAATATCTGGCCAAGCTGAACTCACGAGTCTACAAGTTTATGCATATTTATTGGGTATTTGTGATCATTATATACCTAATAAATTTGTTACAATATATCTTTAATCTTTTGAAACATATCTAACAAAAGAATAGGCAAATTATACTTCTAATATTGAAATTCTAGTGATGATATCATTACCGATAGTGATCAAGATGATCAAGATATAGCAAATGAGTCATTTATCATTTCCTCTTCAAATGAAAAATTGACAACTGCTAATCTTTATATTGATTATCAATACCGAGATTCATCTTTATGTAATATATGCTTGTATGACTATGCTACCACTATTAGAAAAATTTTGATCAATTTATATAAACTTTCAATGTTGTCAAGTCAGTATCTAAGAGAAGGAAATGAGCAATTTTTTTTCTATGGTAATGATTTACCTGACAAACATATTCATGAATTGGTTAATATTCATCCTCAAAATAAAACTCATATTTAAAAGCTTAGAAATAGAGGAACTAAAAGAATAGTTGTATTGAGTAGTAAAAGAATACCAAACAAGGATGATATGGATAATGCAGAATATTATAGCCTATGTATTCTTATGTTATTTAAGCTATGAAAAATAGTTTTAGATCTATGAGAAGGCTATAACATATAGAATAATGCATGTCAATATTTTTTAAATAGTTCTTCTTTATTACTTCACTTAAAATCAATAATTTCTAATATAGAACTATTGCATAGATTTTCAGAAGAATCTACTCTAGACCGTGAGCTACACAAAAAAAGCCTTAAAACATTCAATTTTTGTTAAAGCACATCATATTAATCATTCTGTTCCTGAATATGATGCTGATAATGATTTAGATATTTCTGATAATGATAAACTATTTGATAATTCTTTTGACAAGAGCTCCTTAAACTTTGATTTAGTAAAAATTATTAGATCTGGTCTAAAAGATGCAAAAATAGTTGATGCTACTATGAACTTTTTATGACTTCACAGAAGATTTTGCTTAGTAAATACTGCATCATCGGTGAATTTTTTTGTTACAGATAATCATAATTTAAATAATATACATAAAAGTAATATTCATGATAATGAACTCCTAAAAATTTAGCAGACAACTGTTACTACTTAAAAAATGCTATGCAAAGTTAATAACGATGATTTAGAAAATATTATACCATTAAATATTTATACTGATCAATTGCATAGTGATAACACATCATTATATATTCATACAAAACAAATTGATGATCTATTAGAAAAGTTCGCATCTGATCTAAATGATGAACAAAAAAAAGCTTATTTTCTTGTATGTGATCATCATCGAAGAAACAATCCAATGAATAGAATTATACCATTTCAATTATTACTCTACCTTACTGAAGCAGATAGTACAGGTAAATCTAAAGTTATTAAAGCTATCTGCTCTTACTTTAAATATATTTTCTAATATGATACTCTTCTTGTATTAGCCTCAACTGGAATTGCTGGCACAAACATTTCTAGAAATACTATTTATTCTGTATGTGGATTTGGGTTTGGTGAATCCAAAAAAAATAAACATAGTTTTTTAGATGGATTGTTACAGCAACTTCAAGAATTTTGGTCCAAAATAGAATATCTTATTGTTGATGAGATATCTATGGTCAGACAAAAACTTCTAACTCAATTTCATACCTTCTTAAAAAAAGTAAAAGCAACTGACGACCTTATACCTTTTGCTAGACTAAATATTTTATTCATTGATAATTTTATACAATATATAGTAGTTTAAACCTCAAATTTCTTGAAAAAGAAAAAAATAAGAGAAAAAAAATAAAAAAACTAAAGAA